TAATGGGCTCGACCCCTCAACAGGCCGGGGGTTGTGGTAATATAACTTCTCAAGGCCCTTCTATCAATGACGTGAATGACTTCACCAAAGCTACACCATCCTCTGATCGCCGTGATCGTTGTGTTCGAGTAGACCTTGAATTATCCCAAACGTTTTCCCAGCCTATAATTTCCGTGAAGCATCCCAGTATGCTTCCGGGAACTCAGGCTGGACAAAGTACATTTGGGATAGCCCAACACGTAGAAGATAACCCATTCTTCTTTGCTGAGTGAACTTAAATTATTTTACGTGAGCGTTTTGCTCGAACGATTTACACCATTCGCTCAGCGACGTAATGGACAGTAAGTTTTTCAGTTGCAGCAACTGGTTCAGACTCGTCCTTGTTCATGCTATTTTTCACATTTTCGTGACTGACTGACGTCATTGCCATTTCTGACTTTCATAGATGTTATGATAACCATCTAGTGTATTGAAACGGGTTCATGCGACTGCACTCTTCTAACGACCTGTGAGTTTGAGACCGGATTTCTAATGAAGGGAGATGCGGTATTACTAGAGTAAAGCGGTTCCAGCGATACAACCGCTTATCGGTTGTGGACACAACTTGTATGGTTTAGGCTCTAACGATCACTAGAATAGTTCTACAGTGTGGTGCTTTGACTCTTCGAAACTCTCTCACTCGACGTGGCTTTCAATCGCTCCTTGATCAATACTCAATCTTCTATGGATAAATTCTGAAATGGGAGCATTCACTTTCTTCCTCCTCGAATGAATGTACTTGAAGGCAGCGATTACGGTAGATCTCGTAGGAGTTTTGAGGAGGACGCGAGGGTCTCAATAGTACGCCAATGGCGAAAAAGCAAAGAAATCCGTCAAAAATCCGCAAAATAATTTTCGACCATGGATGAGCGACGGTAAAGAACGAAGTTGTTCGGACGTGTTAACCCCGATAGCCGCCATCATGCCAACAAGCATAGTGTTTTGATTGATAAGGCATTACGTGGGCAAGTTGGAAGATACGAACTTCCAAAATGAAAATCACAGCAAACAGCTCGCCCAAGTCATTGTGAACAAGTGGGCGTAACGCTTTCAGGGAGGAGTGCTTCGGAAGTCCTGCTCAGCAACCAGGGCACCTTTCGTCGTGAAGCGCCACACTTCGCTTTCTTCGGCAGCCAAGTAGTAACTGCTCTGTGTGGCGCACATACTCCCCTTATGCGGCCCTTTCTCATCGTAATCGCTTTCATTGAAGATAATGATGAAAAACGAAAATTTCATGCAACGAAAAACGGGAAATGGTGGGTATGAAAAGATCTCGACATCTGGAAAGTTGGAGAACATCTGAAACTGTTCCCGGGAGTGTGACTACCAGCGTTCTCTCTACAGAAGTGTATAAAATTGGAATTTTTGAAGGATAGAAGAGATCAAATTTCTATTGGATTATCATAGGTAATACGTTGGGCCCAGGGAATTCGTTCTGGTTGAAGCAGCCGCATTTGGTCACTATACAGGGTGAGATTCCAGTTCGGAGGCCACTCCTTTGTGCTTTCCATACTAAGGATAAGGATAAGAGTTTTCATGACACGTAATCGATTCATTTAAAATTACTTCTGATAAGGACCGGTGTAGTGTGGAAGTACTCCTAAGGTGCTTTCAGATTTCGGCCTGCTGTGGTCCAAGGAAATGGTCCTGAACTAGGGTATGGACATCCTTTCCTAGGCGCAAGGGTGTAGGAGCCCAGGGTGGACGATCACATACCATAAATTGCCTAGGATGTGAGCAGGATGTGCGTGATGTAGGGCATACACCGGTCCTTATCAAAAATGCACTTGAAATGAGTACCGTTACCGCAACGTTTACCTATTAGCTTACCCGTAGGATTAAGTGAAATGCTCTCTAGTACTACGGATAAGGTAACAGGAAATGGCTCCCCAAACTGAGCACTCACCTGTTTACAGATATTTCCTGTAAGGTTTTGCAGGCTTAAAGGCACTTGCGCCATCAACTTCATTGGAGAAATCTGTCTGTCTGCGCAGTTGCTGTGTTCGCATTTGTCATAAGGTTATGCCACATTACGGTTACGGCAGGGCGGTTACGCATTTGCGCGTAGAAACCTTGAGACGCTAGTGTTTTAGGACTTGGATCCTCGTATGCCTCGTGGATGTGTGCACTCCCGTCGTGCTAGTATTTTATCCGTGTCGTGAGTAGTTGTTTTGGACTGTCTATTTATCTACCCAACTACTAACTATGTGATATTCATATTGACTGCCACAATTGGAAGACAGAGAAGAGGGTCCAGAGTTCTACGCATGCTCAGAAGAATCCTCGAAAAATTACTGACCAAACTTACTAATTACAGACTAATACCACGCAACCTGGCATTTGACGACTCGTTATTATTTACTCCCTTTTTGGAGGGCCTATATCGATCGATAGATGTTATTTTTGTCGTTGCTCAAAAAGTGAAGTTGATAACAAGTAAACGTTTCAATCGCTTAAACTGAATTGCTGCAAAGAAATGTGAGGTGGCTTTTTATTTTTCCAAATTGAACGCGGGTTGAACTCGAATTTCGGAATGATTGCCAGGGGTTGTTTCATCTGGGGAACAAGTATATACCAGTAGAAATCGAGTTAGTCTTGAAAAACGGTCAGTATGGTAGTGGTTCCTCCAACAATGCGTTTTGTGTATTTTTTCTAGTGAGTCCCCAAGCGAGCTTTCACAGAGGAATTGCCTAAAAGATGGTATAGTGTTACTTTCTAAACGTCGCCGACGTCATCGCCACGATGACTAATGTGCCCCGCCCTTCAACTGAGCCTCCGAAAGAATGGTAACCGCGGTAAGTGTTCAATCACTTTGGGGAGTTACGCCCTCTCCTCCCTATCGGCACCCGCCACCCGTACAGACAAGTGTGGAACCAAAGAATTTGTATTCCCTACTAGTATAATAGCTTTACACATTATCAAGAACATCCCCCCCCATCTTCCCCACTCCTCCCACACTTCGAAATCTAATATGGCCTCAACTCCACTTTCCCACTGTTTTTAGTTGACGGCCCTGGCAACTTATGCCGAAATATCTCAGTCTATTAGCTTTGGAAAACTATTTGTAGGGCTATGATAACTTGCAGGGGCATCCTGGGGGTTAAGCCGAGGTGAAGGCAGGAACTCCGGGGAAAATGAAAATGGCTCGCGCACTCTGGAGCTTATTCTCCCCACCTAAGGCTTAGGCTCGTTTTCATGATAAACAAGAGGTTTACGCTGTGGTAAAAGCATTGCCACCGCATACCCCTGTATCTTGTTATAGCGCTCTATTTCTTGCCCTTCAGGTCTGCCACGAGAAAAAATGTGTGTAAATTATGTGTGTATATTGAATAGCAAAAACACCTTGTCAAAAATTCTGCTTCACATCTCTTATAACTGAAATGTTAATTGCATTATTTGATGTTCAATGCCAAGCTAACAACAATTTTTGTCAGAGAAATGTGACCCAGTAATTTTTGCGCAAAAAAGAAAAAATTAAGAGACCCACTATTCCCGAAGGGAGGGTGTTAGACTATTGAGCATAAGGCTCCTGGGAGCAGCACGAGGGTCCATCACTGCTAACGCTCATTATTCTTCTCCTTTCTTTACCCAGTCTATCCGTTCGCCTTTGGATTCGACCATTCGTAGGTCCAACCAAGAGCACTTGAGATCATTCCTAGCCGTGGAATTTGCCCTCCACTCTTCTTCTAGACTTTACAATCCTCAACTACGCATTGTGCGAGATGAGACCGCTACGGACAGTTCTGGTCAAAGGCGCTGTCAGATAGTAACTTTAGACAGTAAGTGCAAAACTGTGTTGACTATCATATCAGGTTCACGCAAACCTCTCACGATTAGGCATTTCACGGCTTTTTCGGCAGCTTTCACTACAAAGTCGAAATTTCTTTTTGTGGTCCTACAAAACGTTTCTGTCGTGCTCTGGATCGTATTCGAGCCTTTGCAAAGATAAGTGAAGATTCTACCGACTCTTTTTTAGATGGACTTGCTCACCTCTTCCATCACGTCAATAGCAACCTCAACAGTTGTACCTCTCGATCGGGTTTGTTTACCTCTTGAATATCTCAAATGTATTCAGAATTCAAATTTCGACTTCGTGTTTTACTGTGCGAGGATAGGCGTTCATATAAAAGTATAGAATAAAAAATAAAGACAGAATTCTCTGGAATATTCGCTGTGAAATGTTCATAAATCTACAAGGAATATCAGAGAGAACTACAGTTCGAAATTCTGCTGAAGGGAGTCTGATGCACTTCCTGACTTGCGCCGAAGACTGCCCTTCTATCCGATGAGGGTCGGGTGGGAGTCGTGAAATGGTCGTTACGATCGTGGAAATCCAAATTGCTCCCTAGTGTATCCAAATGAAATATTTTTGAAAATATTTCATGAATAGTGGGCTGGTCGAGTGCAACAATTGGGCCATGAATGCATTTCCATACAACTAATTCCAAATGTACAACTTCAAAACAGCTCGTAAGCACTTTGCTCGATAACTCCGGGATATCGGAATTATCTAGGACTTGACAAATTTAATTTTTGCAAGCTATAAATCCAATTTTTCTCAGGTCTTAACCTTGTTTTTATGAAAATTCGACTCTTTTTCAGTCCTCTGTACTATGGGTGCTGATTGTTGGCATTGTCATGGCATTCCTGCTCGGAGCAGGACTTGGTGCTAACGATGTGTCAAATACGTTCGGAACTTCCGTTGGAAGTGGAGTCGTCACTATTGTACAGGTACGGAAGGAGACTTTACATCAGTATCATGAGAACTCATTAGTTCTGCTGGACGTCATCCATTGATTCCAAATTTTCCTTTTAGGCTTATATTCTGGCTTCTATATTCATCACTCTTGGATCTGTACTCGTAGGTAAAAAATGTTATCATATCACTTTGTTTCTCAGTGCTTGTGTTTTGTACAGAGACAGGATCCTGTATTGAACGCAAATATTCCTTCCAGAGCCCCACCACTTTTAGGTTGGTGCAGTAGACTGATGGGAACAAATGCGGAAGGGAGTCTGGTTCGGAATGTCTACCAGGAGAGACTGATAGTAACTCACGTGAAGCTAACTGCGGGCGTTCGGGTCAAGGTGGGCAATTTACTTGGAGGTAATCAACCAGTTTAACTGAGAGTTGCCTGTCGTTTTTAACTGAGAAATATTTGACCCATAATAACTACGTGAGATGAATCAAATTTTCAATAACTCCCCGCGTGAGGTGGGCGTTGTCCAGGGTAGAGCGGGTTGTGGATGGGTAAAGGGGGTTCTTAGCCCAAATTACAGAAGAATTTGCAACAACTAGGGACAATTATGCGTTGTGTGATGGAGCTATCTATGATCGGGAAACACTACCTCCAAATCAGCAGTTCTCCCATACTAAGTAAAAATACGTGCTCTGGGGAATACCGATATAAATGTTGGGGGTGACAAATAAATAACGTGCTTTTGGCTTCTGTTGTAAATATTGTTTGAGACCAGCCTGAAATTCAGGAGACCTTTCGGCAAGGTTATTGTAATTAGTATTACTTGAGGGTAGAGAAAAATCTGTTAGGCTAAAAAATTATATAATTAACTTTCATGCGGCGAAATTTTCTCTAAAATGCGCTTCGAACTGCAAACATACGGGGGGCCACTAGGAATTTGTATTTCTCTTAACCCTTAAACTACGACTTTTTTAGAATCGAGTTGTAAATGTGTCCTGCGTTGCAATTATCCCTCCCAGCAACAGGCAACCAGCTAAAAATTTGGCTGATGTACGCTGGGGCTTACGTGTGACCTGGGCATTTTGAATTCTAGAGGACCACGAATTATTAAAGCGCGCTCTATCGCTTCGTGGTTAGCGGCCCAATTCTTTGTCATAACCATTTCGCAGATGGCGGCATAATTTTTTTTGTTCAATAAATTGGCAATTCTACAACCACACATTTTTTTACAATATTAAAGTCTTCAATGACCCGAACTTTTTACAAAAAAGGTTTGAAAAGGTCAACATTATATGGTCTATGAGTGGTAAGCAGATAAAACATTTATGATATGCTCACAAAGGGCGTCCGCTTTTGCAAATTTTGTCAAGCATTCACATCTCATTGGTATTTTATACACGAGTTTCTTCAATATATACGCGCTCTCAAAACACATGAGTTATCTTACTCGCCGACGGGCGTTTTTAAACTGTAGTTGGCAATATTGGTCCACAAACCCGACGCGTTGATGTATATCCTGCCTGAGAAATTTTCTGGTATGGTGGGTTCCCTTCCTGGCATTGCTCGGGCTTGCGCATCTGTTAGCCGTCCTTTCCCTCCCCTGCGCAATCATTTGCTGAGCAAGAGGAACAAGGAATTTGATCAGCTTCGTTTTCTCGTGATGGATTTCCTAATATATTATCCATGCGTTTACAACCGCCACCCTGTAGCTAGTATATTTATTTTAGTAGGCCACTTTTATCACCATCCTGGACGTTAAAGTTGACTCGTCGACTAAAGTGCCATGTCTCGAATAAGACATGATTCTTACGGCCGCCCAATTATGCTGTGTAGAAGGATGACAGCTCAGGGCACTTTCACTTTTCTTTAATTACTCGCCTGATTCCATCCCCCTTTCAAAATATTACACGTAGCAGCAAACACATGCTTGTTGTAGGGGTTCAGTGTTGGACAATTGACCTGTGGGTATACCAAGGCTAGCCTCCCTTGCAGTTTATTCGTCATTAAGTCCGCGCGCCACAGTTACTTTGGCGTATTTTACACGGCTCAGTGTTACGCAATACTTTCAAATAGAGCGATGGGCACACCGTTCGCCAAGCTTTCTGAAAACTGGGAAACATAGTATGGAATTAGAAGCCTCGTATATGTGCCCACATTTCACAGCCATTTCAAGATGTGAAAGCGCTAATCCTTTGCATCAGGAGTAAATTCCGTCCCTTTTCAGAACTGTAGGTAGTGTCTTTTGATACGAAGTGGGCGACACATGCTGACTTCTTTTGTACGCCAGTATTCCAAAATTAACTACGCAGGATGTTACCCTACTCGATATCTAGTTATACATAGCGACGACTACTTTTCCATAGTTTAGTTAAATTAGAAAGTCTTCTTATGTCGCCCCACAGTTAGCAACAAATGCAGCGCCTCTGCTATCTCAGAGTGGGTTCCTTGTGAACTGGTTAGTAAGCAGCTACGTGTCTTTGACTACAAAGTGGGAACATGTGCTCACCACCATTAGTCAAAGGCAGTTTAATGGAATCTTTCACGAAAACCAAGCTCGGCTGCCATCTACCACTATGAAAAAACGACTGAGCTTACTGCCCCTAGCCTCATGAGCATAGCAAAAAGAACGGAACATAAGCGTTAGTTTCGATAATACTAATCCTACACACAAGACAAAATGATCACTCTTTCCGTGGAAGATTCCTTTAAGGTATCGTTTTCTGTGGTAATGAGGGCGGAGCTTTTTCCGTGGAAGATTCCTTTAAAGGAGGAATTCACGATAAGAACGAAGGTCAAAGAAGGGAAAATTGCATAGTTGGGAGACAGGCGGACCTGAGGGTGCTGACCGACGCGCAATTGGCAGCGAAAGATTTGACCTCGGCGATCTAGCATGGCTCACTCTTGGCGCGGTTGGCGGGGTACGCCCACCGACTATCTAATCACTCGCCGCAGGTCTATACGTGGCGAGTGATTAGATAGCAGAGAGAGCGTAGTGTTGAAGAGGGCACAGCGATGAGAGTCGCATCAATGCGCAAATCAACGGGCAAGGAAGGGGTCCCATTTCTCGGGTTCGGGCCGTTTCAAATGGTTTTTTCTTCATCCCTGCTCCACTGACCACCTCTACCTTATTCCAGAGCTAACTTTTCATCGTAAATTCTACCTTTGAGGTACTGCTGCTTGGCTGGCTATCACGACTGGTCTCAGGATGCCGGTTTCAACCACTCACGCTATGGTTGGATCCACACTCGGATTCACGTTGGTTCTACGTGGAACGGAAGGCGTAAACTGGGATGAGATATACCGAATAAGTAAGTGACCTCTCCATGAGTCCTTTACATACGGGGTGCTAGTGTCGTGCATTATTAGGTTAATATGGTCGTTTCAGTCGCGTCGTGGTTCCTCTCGCCAGCTCTCTCAGGACTTATCTCTGGAATCCTTTACTTGATCGTGGACATTGCCGTACTACGACGGGTACTACCTTCATTCTCAAGATACAATCACAACTCATTTATTTTGAAACAGATAGGATCAACGATCTCCATGCAACTCGGAAAGGGCGTCGCTTTTCCCAACTTTTTGAAAGCTCGATAGCTTTGAAGTAGCCTGATTTCTTGATCTAATTTAGCTCTGTCAACTTAATTAAAGTTCTACTGATCACGGCGCACACCGCATTACTGTATCGCGAATCACATAAAAATTAAAATTGGACACTATTTAGACTTTACTTTGGTTACTGAAGAAATGTAAAAATAGTTATAAGAACAAAAATATGTGAAATAATAGAGGGGGTTCACAAAGAGTCAGTCTGGCTTCCGTTTCGCACGGGCCCTTAGACGGAAGCCAAACGTTTGTAAGCATATCCTCTCCCTGTGCTCATCAGTAAGGGAATAAGAAAAGAGAAGTCAAAATGTGAGTGACAACTTGAGCGAGTATACATATCACACGAAGGCTCTGGATAAAATTCATCAAGTCCTCAGCTAACAGAACCTTCGACTGTCTCCAGGTCTTTTAATTGAAATTGTCCACAGGATAAAACTTAAAGTAAAATAAAATGTGGAATAAACCACAGAAAAATCCCCTGATTGTCCATGAATTGAGATCTTTCTTCAAAGAGCCGTACATTGAGCGGTACAGTTCAAAGAGCGCAATCGTATGTAGGAGGTCACTTTGTTTCATTTTGGTTTCACAAAGTTGTGGATTAGCTTCACATCGACGGAATCAGCGCAGTGGCTGAAGAAGTAGCTCCCATCCGATCTTGTGTTGCAATCAACACACTGAATAGTAGCCTTTACAAGAACAAAACACCAATTCGGACATCGGCTAGTTGTTGCAGCTCACCAATCGGGCCAAAACCGCTTCCAAAGTTCTAGGTGATCTCAAGAAGCACAATAATCGCTTCACTCTTAACGTGCAGCAAATGTTTCATCTACACTAACCGTTCACTTTCAGAATCATCCGTTTGAATGTGGTCTTCGATCGCTTCCGGCTTTTTACTTCTTCGTGATCGCCTTCAACGTTTTAATGGTCACATGGGACGGATCAAAACGTAATTTTTGACTTGTTTTGTTTGTTAACTGCTGTTTTAACGCCGCAGTTCGCGTTGCGAATGTTTCACAAGAATGCTGGGTTGTGAACAAAACTTTCGCCCCAGGCGGGACTAGAACCCGCACCTCTCGCTTTCCGGGCAAGTGCGCTACCAGTTACGCTACCGGGGCACCATTTCATTCCAACTCAGCTTTTCATGGTATACGTACCATAGCTTTCAGCACTCACACGTCTAACGTGTTGAGCCGGTTAGCCGATATCGGCAATTGACCGCGAGGTCGCAACGCGAACTGCGGCGTTAAAACAGCAGTTAACAAACAAAACAAGTCAAAATTCATTGCTAAAGCTTTCAGCCTCGCGGTCATTGCCGATATCGGCTAACCGGCTCAACACGTTAGACGTGTGAGTGCTGAAAGCTATGGTACGTATACCATGAAAAGCTGAGTTGGAATGAAATGGTGCCCCGGTAGCGTAACTGGTAGCGCACTTGCCCGGAAAGCGAGAGGTGCGGGTTCTAGTCCCGCCTGGGGCGAAAGTTTTGTTCACAACCCAGCATTCTTGTATAATTTTTAGCGTTTAAACTGAAGATTGCTGAGATCAATCTTGAACTCAATTCCAGTCCTTCACTTCAACCGTATCACTTTTTGGGGAGCAGCGCTGATCTCGGTTGCTATTGGATCACTAGCTGCGTTGCGTAATAACTTCGTAGTAAGCCAGGCCTGACATGGGCGGTAAAATTAGTATTTCTTGATACAATAATTTTTTCGGTTTGACTCTGTTTGAGATATGATAATGAGGGAACTGCCTGTTTGTATTAAAGGACAATACGGTAAAGGCGATAGCACGTCAGTCGAATCAACGGGTCGTGAAACGAATGTCTCCACAATGTGGACTTGCGAATTTCCGAGCAATGCAATGGACGTTACAAGGGAGGCTTTTTGGAAAACGGTTTAGTACATGTTGTAGGGACGCATGTATGGACCACAAAACCATGTTTCGTTTTCGCTGAACGGTTTTAGTAGTACCAAAAAAGTGGTGAATAATACTCTTGATGGTTCAATCCCCGCGGCGACTAAATTTTGCAATCAAGGTTGGCGGCCACTTGTTGGCTTCAAAATGGTCCTGACGATGAATTTGACATCTGATTTTGATATTTAGCGCGATTTGGCACCAAACCGTAGGCGCCAACCCAAATGCAAAATTTAGTCGCCACGGGGGATCGAACCCTTAACAGTACCTTATGCTTCTTTTTTGGTACTGCTATAACCGTTCAGCGAAAATGAAACATGGTTTCCCTACATGCGTCCCTACAATATGCACAAAACCGTTTTGAAAAAGCGCACCTTGCCCTGAAAGACCTCCCTTGTTAGTGGAGATGACTGCGTCGCCTCATTTCCTATGCTATCTTACTTAATCTCTCGTCTTGGCGCTCAGTGTCTATTCGCCGTTGCACAAACTACTCCACAAGAGGAAGGGCTTCTATTCTAAGCGTTTCTGTAGTTTCCTTTCCTCATTTTACATCTTCATTCGTTATCCAGTGCGAAACCACTTGAATTGATCGCAAAACCGTTCGCTCATTCGTTAGCATTTGCACCTTACTACGAGCCTCAGTGTTACACATATGGCCTATTTCTTCCGAAGAAATGTTTTTGGCATTATTTTCAATGTTGTTGACATTCTTTGATATACATATTTTAAGAAAGAAGCAGACACATTTTTTACTTCCGTTTAAATTGAATTGATAATTTGAACGGAAATAGTGATAGTGCCTCATTTTAAACGCAATTGAGCCCATACAAGTTCCAAGACTAGCTTTAATATCATATTTAAAGAATAGATGAATACGAAGAAAATGAAGCAGGTAGCGTTATGGCCGATGTCAGGCTTTGCGAATCGTGCCATTCGCTATACGCGAAGCGACCGTGGACGCTAGCAAAGCGTTCGACGCCAAGTCTTACATCGGCATTTTGATAGAATACAAATGACAAGTAATGGAAGACAAGTAATATTATTGGTTTATGAGATAGGATTAGCCGATTGAAATGAAGGCTGCAGTAGGTAGAGCTGGCACGAAGATTACAAAAGCAAGCAGTTACTGAATACTTGTAAACTTATCCAAGCAGGATCGATTGCTGAACTGAATCTTTTTTTTTGGTTTTCACGTGGTAGTTCAGATAGAGACTGGCTCCACTCCTCAAGTTTCAGCTCTACTCCTCAAATTTCAGCCTCCACAACTGTGGATATCGAAAGTGTTCGTACCAGCTCGTTCAAGACAGTGCAATTGTGATCGGCTGAGTAGCCCAGCAAGCTGCAGCTCGGGACCGATGGACCTGCGTCAGAGTGACGTTGATGTTTTGTACGTGGCTTGAAAATTCTATTTGCACGGCATGAATCCTCACGCTGCAACTGTGATCACCGATATTTCCGACTTTTAAACTTGTTTTCGTTCATTCTTATACTAATCTTTATCCACACTTAACCCCTGCCTTCTGTCGCTCATGATCCTTTTTGGCACGTTCTCTCGTACAGAGTGCCCTAGTCGCTTCCGAATCCAGTGTTTCCACTCCTTTTATAGCCGCTAAACGCCCTATTTATCGCAACAGATAATGCAAAAAAATGATCAATTTCTCCAAGTGACTAGATTTTTCCTTGTCTCGTTGTGGTCGGCACAGATAGAGATTGGCAGGGAGTATGTTCAGGAGCACGCCTTCTTGTGAAAGGGCTCCTGCCGAATGTGGAACGAGTCGACGATGAGAAAACGATCCAGCTTTTCTCCTGGATTCAGATTTTCACCGCATGTTTCGCCGGATTCGCGATTGGAGCTAATGATGTGAGGTGAGCCGATATTCAACTGATGCATGGGTTCATTCCGTAAAGGCCGTGGGTATACAATCTGTTTTGTCTCACAACGAGACTTCCTTATTCCTTTCGATGCTTTACGCCTTACTCTGTGCTCGTTACACTTGTGAGTTCAATACTCGTGAAAGGGATGCTCATCAGAATAAATTTGCATATGTAGTTGAACCTCTAGACTTCCCGGTTTTGTAAACTGTAGGTTGAGTCTGTTGGCTGCCTAGTCTCATTATGTGGATGGACACCTGGACCACCGCCCGACATACCAAGTTGATTGCCCTCGATTCAATTAGGGGGCTCAATCGCCGAGTATGAACTTGACCTCAGTGGCTTATATACACTGCGTCCCATAATTATAACTCCACCCAAGAATTTCCCAAAATCTCACAAATTTAGATGTTTTAGAAAAAGTCTCCAATGTGGCAGTGTGTCAAATACAAATACGAAATTGCCTATAACATCAACTTCCAACTTGAGATCCCAGGAATTTTTTCAATAATTTTTGTTCAAAAGGCCACTTAGCCGACGTCCCAAAATTATAACTCCACCTCATGTTTTTCTATTATTTTTCACTTCCGTTTCGCCAAACTTTTTTTTGCTATCCTACTTCTCAAGGGGACAGTATGATAGAAAATGCTGTCTGACTTTTTAAAAGGTCAGGTCGTCGCAAAAACTACTAATTAGGCAATCGCACAAGATTTTGACCAAATTCACGAGGAGCTCGAGAATTTTTCAGGGATTTTACATGATATGGAGTTGAGAAGAGCTCCAAAGGATCTCCCCTTGCTTTTCGGTAGAAACAAAGGCCGTGTCACAGAAGAAACATCCTTTTTTATGAAGCCGTGCTCTGCCATCAAATCTTCTTCGGAACAACGGAACAATGTTTTTGCTTGCGAATAAAATAAATCCCAAGTTGATTCCCGAGTGGAAAACGTGGAAGGCATCATCTGTGGCAGGAAACCATGGCGAAAATTGAGCCCATTTTCACAGAAAGATGCAACGGAGCCGACTGGAGTAAGGTTCGCTTTTGCTCGATATGTTTTAGCATTTGTTTGTTTTTCTTTTCGTGCTTTTCTCATCCTTAGTAGCTTTTCTCTTCGCGAAGCACTACCAGGAGAAAGAAAATGCCGAAGAGAAAGACAGACAATCAGTAATGAATCGCAAGTAAGAGCGAACCTTACTACAGTCGGCTCGGATGCACCTTTCCGGAAAACTCAGCAAGAATTCCGCCATGGTTTCTTACCACAGATGATGCCTTCCACGTTTCCACTCTGAGAATCAACTTGGGACTTATTGGCAAGCAAAAAACATTGTTTTCCGTTGAGCCATTAAGTTCCGAAGAAGATTTGATGGCAGAGCACGGCTTCATAAAAAAGGATGTTTCTTCTGTGACACGGCCTTTGTTTCTACCGAAAAGCAAGGGGAGATCCTTTGGAGCTCTTCTCAACTCCATATCATGTAAAATCCCTGAAAAAATTCTCGAGCTCCTCGTGAATTTGGTCAAAATCTTGTGCGATTGCCTAATTAGTAGTTTTTGCGACCGGACCTAAAAAGTCAGACAGCATTTTCTATCATACTGTCCCCTTGAGAAGTAGGATGTTAGCACAATAAAAAAGTTTGGCGAAACGGAAGTGAAAAATAATAGAAAAACATGAGGTGGAGTTATAATTTTGGGACGTCGGCTAAGTGGCCTTTTGAACAAAAATTATTAGAAAAAATTCCTGGGATCTCAAGTTGGAAGTTGATGTTTACAGGCGATTTCGTACCTGTATTTAACCACACTGCCACATTGGAGTCCTTTTCTAAAACATCTAAATTTGCGAGATTTGGAGATTCTCTGTGGAGATAATCATTGTTAACTATTATATAACGCACTGTATAAGAAGGATAAAATTTGAAGGCACACTCCGCGATCAACATGGTTTGCTCACTGGCTGTAAAAAAACGAGACAAGTGAGCGATAGAAGAGAAAAAAAGGGAAAATAATCACCGGAAAGACGACGAATGGAAGCCTTGCTTTTTTGAATGTGGAGGAACATACAGGGGTGGCCAAAAAAAAGAGACACTTCACTCAACATTCAAAACGGAATTATTTACGCGTCGCGAAACCAAACCAAATGACCCCAACTGAATATTGAAGAGCACGTTATAATCTATCAACAAGCTACACAACAGCCTTCTACACCGACGACATCAGAAGATTTTCCCTCTGAAGCATTGTGCACGGTACAAGCTCAACGAGGCCTTCGAGATACCATAGACGATTACGACCTCTCTGAAGCGCAGTCAGCGGTTTTGCACATTCACAGCTAATGTCTCTAGGAAGCTATTCAACAATTAATTCACTGAGGAAATTGTGTAGCAGCTTCAGGTCGGAGCGATTTCGGTAAGCCTCGTTGAGCTCGACGGTGACGGCAGATGACGTCATATTCTGGAGACGGCAGGGGCAGTGAAGGAGTGCTTGCTTCTGTTTACGGGAGGAACAACTAAGGAATATAACGCCATAAAACTTTCATTAACATCGGCTCCCTGTGTGACGAAAAGTTCGATGATGTGCGCCATGGGCTGAGTGTCTCTTTTTTTTGGCCACCCCTGTATATAGTACATACAATATTAGGCAAACAATGGAATAAGAGATACGAGTGCCCGAGGAGAGAGAAGAAAATCGGAGGTACGAGATCATGGGTACGGACGAGACAAGGCATGTTGTATGAGGTCATTTCCGGGCCAGAATCTCGACTGATAGGAGGAGCCCCATGAATGCCATAATCCTTAGTGCCTCTGACTGGCAATTTCGGGGTGAAGAAGGTGCAGTGATAGTGCAGACACCTACAACTTTCTCGGGCTGGGCTTCGCTGATATAACTGTGGAATATGCCTTCAATAAAGGCCAAGGAGCATTACGGAATTGAACCACTATCATCGGATTCATTACATTCTTCATGCTGATATTTGAGCGCTTGCATTCTTGTGAGAAGATAAAGTCATATCAGAGGCTGACAGATAGTTTCTGCGATAGGTTAGAAATTAAGGCATAGCGACAATCGGTAATGAACTCACTCATCTTATTCGTACTTCGTTGTCATCACTTTATCAGCAAAACTTATTCGCCAGCTAAAATATCCCAGTGGTGGATTTTAACACAGAGATGCATTTGGGAACGACTTCTTTATAACTGAATGACTAAAGTGATGCTACAAAAAGCCGTTGAACATTTTACCTAAAAACAGAGGTGGAATATGGTGCACTGGTCAAGAAAAGTCGGAAAGAGAATCGCTAAAGTCCAGCGAAATGAGACTCCTTCTATGCCCGTCGCTTTCGCCAGCATCAGCATTAAACCAATCGCAGCTCTACTCCAGCTTAAATCCTAATCGGGGGGGGGGGGGTGCGTGCCATTGCAGGGGGTTCGCCAAGGTTAGTGTTACTTACGTGAGTATTCGCCGCAATACATGTCTCTACTCGCTTTTTAAGGGGTCCGCCCTCTTTTTTTGCTAAGCATACATCCCTCCGCTCCACTTCCAATTTATCAAAACATCTTCCTTTGAATGCAGCGATTATTATAATTCCTTGTGCAATGAAAGACCAGTGTGGAGTGTAATGTAGCACGGCAGTGAGGAATAACACAGCAAAACGGCTAAACGGATAGATTAGATATAAACCATCGACTTGACGATCGGCTGGAGACAGAGGGTTATTTCAAAAGTCGACCAGTTTTCTCAATCTTCTCGCAGCTCTAGTTCCCTATCCATTCGACATTGCTGAAAACAAATCCCTCTAAACAGTGGAATTCTCATAAGTAACAATATGAAACCATATGTGTATGACGTGAAATTTTCCAGTAATGCAATCGCTCCGGTTGCTGCGTTGGTTTCCATCTACAAAGATCAGAACGCCAGGCAGGAAGCAGAGGTTAGTCCGTAATTAATTAATTAGCCAAGACAATCGCATTCGTAACTGAAGAACATCACCGCGACTTACTCTCTCTCAGGGAGTGTGGTGGTAGTGATGTTCTCTTTCTATTGTTGCTTGTGGCTAGCTTTCCAATAATTGACTTGCGAGAATGTGTTATGATCATAACCCTTGCCAGAAATAATATTGTATATGATATCATTCTGAAAATTGGTATTTTTTACAGTCTAGCCATCGGGGCTCCATGTGAAAAAGTGTCAACTTCATTTACCGAACAAACTCTAGATTACCCAGTGTTTGCAGCGATTGAGCATCAATAAGCACGTCCATCTCTATAGCTCTCCCCTACATTCCCGAACCCTAGGCAATTCCATAGCTGCACCAAATGTTCGTAGCCGCCTTTATTCATTTCATGCAACAGTTCTTTCTTCTTTGCTCACTGAGATTTTTACTAATCAAAACAGAAATCTTTATCCCGCTCTAGCTCTACATATGTACTTTTGCTTTTCCACAGTAATAGTGAGCTACGTTCGCTAGTTCGATAGTGAGCTACGTCGCTAGCTAATTGCACTTTCGGATGAGCCAGGCTCTGCCCTTTCCAGTAAAATTAACTGAAATTTTGAGTCCCCAGCGAACTACATGTCACCTGAGACTGAAACCATCTTGAAGTCTTTCGCCTATTATCCGGAGCCCTAAGTTTAAAGGGAGATCTAGCAAAATATCTTTAGGATGACTTCAACTGATCTTGACACAAGGTATTTTACAGCATATGCTGGCAGCCCCCAAAAAGTGATTTGAATAAGGCAATTTGGACAAGGCATTTCACCTCAGAAAGCAAATACGTTTTATCTTTTGCGCTAAAAATATGGAAGAGCAAGAAACATGGAAATCAGTCCCAAACTTCCCATGAAAGAACTCGTCTTTTATTCCAGGTTCCCATATACGTGCTGTTGTTTGGCTGTGCTGGCAATTTGTTTTGGTCTGTGGACGCTTGGTTACCGTATCATTGGCACGGTCGGAAGCCGAGTGTCTCACATCAATCCAGCGAGGTAAGCTCCCTTAACACATTGACGACCGTGCCGATTTCGGCGTTTGTCGCACATGTGTCATTGGCGGTATTGCGTGCGCGCATACTCGGCGATGCTTCAATCTCATATGTGGGACATTTCGTGCGTTTCCCTTACGGGACCCACATAACAGATTCGTCGGAAGGGCGCGGGAGGTTTCGTTCCCCTTTACCAATTAGAATTTTTCAAGTTTTGTTCTAGTTGTTGTTGCTTTAGTTCTTGTTACTACAGTTCATAGGTCTAATAAGTGTTCAGCGCTTGGTTTCGTATGTAATTCTGCGAGGCCTACTGAGAGACGCGTTAAATTGGGAACTCGAGGACCAACTCGAAGTCTGAAACACAAACTGTATACAAATTTCGTAATTGATGATAACTTGTTCGGTAGGTAGGCGTATTAGAATCTGATTGTTTGTGTTGAAATTGAAGTTGTCGACATGCCACACGTTCTACGGATTAACACTTTGGAGACCGCGCGTGTTTTACGTTCCGCGGCCGCGCGGGACTTCGGTGAGATTTTTAGGGATCTTATCTAGCAAATTCAAAAGAAGAACCCACTGTGTAATGCAGAAGAAATCTTATCGGATAAAATGGAAAAGAAAATGAATGAAAAACCTAATAATTGTTTCCGAAATGCGAGCTGAAAGGTCCTATGCGGTCGGAGGGCTGCAGCCCACATATGGGCTGCGTGGGCTCCAAGGTGTTCAATGAGACTAACGGAAGTCAATTAGTCAAAGAAGTACTAAAAGGTTCATGGGGGAGCAAAATACAGATGTGCATACCCGGCGATGCACAAATGTCAGATGTGGGAGTTTCACGTGCATACCCGGCGATGCACGCGGGCTGCAATGTGTTAAAAAGAAATGAGCGTCGCAAAGAATTAACTGGGTGTAGTTTTCGCCCACGAAAACGAAAGCAGAGACGCGAAGTGTCCCAATAGCAAAGAAAAAAAGGAAAAGAATTTGAAAATGCTGAGTTGAGAGCTTACACGCTTTTGTTTTAAAATGGAACATAGAGGCGAGAGAGCTCAACGGATAGGAGAGACCTCAGCATGCTGTGGATGGGGAAAAATAGAAGCGGTCGAAGCCGTCTTTGCAAACCCTTAGCCCCCTTGGTGCGCCTTTCGGAGGCGGGAGCACGAGACATCTGAGATCTTCGAGAATGGCTTCACCCTATCCATCGAAAAGCCTCAGCTTGTGTCTGCGGTAGGAACAAATTGAATTCAAGCAAATATCGGCCCAACTCTATAAATGTCATCAGTATATTGGGTTGGAGCATAATATCGCGGCGCTTACATTTAATACATGCGTTTGAAGCAAAAATGAAAGCAAACTAATCAGTGATGCTTTTTTTGTCATCACTTATAACTTCGAATCCATGTCAAAAATTTTTAATTCAAGTCAGCGGATTCAGAATGAAAAAATATTTTGAGTTCATTTTCCGAAGACCTCATTATTCTCATTTTGTATGACATAAATGTGGTTCTAAATCGCGCGAAAAGGGTATGGTCGAATGGAGTGAGATTCGGCAAGAGCGATGTATTCTGGAACTTCCATTTTTCGACAGTTTGTGTCTACGTAAATCAAAAAAAATAGCAGCTGTCGAAGTTGCCGATTTCTGCCGCCTGGATTGTTCAACTTCAAAGCACCATATCTGAGTTCATTCAAAATACTAAAGGAAATAACAAAAATTATTTTATAGAACGGAAAGGGCTTCCAAACGGTATGCGCGGTTTTCTGGGAAATGCTTGTATTGATTGAATTTATACCCTCGAAAAAGCGCTACGATATTATATTCCAACCTAATAATTCGCTCCCTTCAAGGATTCGACTAGAATTGAAGTATAGTCGGGCACGAGTGCTTCCACAGAGGTTTTTTAAGATATTCGGATAGCATGATACATTCACTAGCATGAAAGTGATGGGGTGGAAAGTAGCGTTGCTTATATTCTACACACACAGTGCGGAGATAACCTCTCGAATCGTGCGCCGCCCAAGTCAACCAAGCCTTCCATCCACTCCAGGTCAACTTGTAGGTACCAGACTTGTCTGGGAGGATAAAAACACTGACTTGTACATCGGCTGGCCCCCGCAAGTCATTGTATAGGCCACATCGCATTCAAACGCCACTACGAATCTAAAGAAAGTAGAAGTGCGTGAGCACCACAAAAAGGTTTTACGCGCAAAGCTTCGTCCGGCCGATGTCCATCGGTCAACGGTACCAATAAGTTTGAGTTTGGGCTAGGGTTTCCTTTGTGGACTGTTGTAATACTGTCGTATTTTTCAAATGCACTGTTTGTACTCTATCGGAACAAGATGAAGTACCTTGGTCATTTAGCGGTTTTACAATCGAGTTTGGTGCAGCGATGACGACACTCATTGCCAGCAAACTGGGACTGCCAATCAGTACAACGCAATGCCTGGTAAGAGAATAGATGTTATTAATAAACAACCAAAAGCATCTGTCAACTGCCTGATCAAATTCCCGGAGGTTCGAACACATTGTAGGAAGGCCCACTTTCATGGGGAGCCTTCCGAGCCTTATATCGAGTGCGTTATAAGTTTTGATAGCTTTTTCAACAGGTTCTGACTCATATTCTATAAGCTACGGGAATCTTTCATTCTGACATTAGTCAGGAGGCCCTCATAATGATTAATTATATCTATTACTTCTTCATACCCTCAGCATCTGTTAGACTGAAATGCCTGAAAATTAGGCACTTGCTTGACACCACCTGCTGTTAGGAGGACCTTGTGGTAGCCACAAAGCGAACCGAGTAGAACACATTATTAAAAGAACTTTGGCCGCAGTCCTTCCATCTATATAACCTCAAAGCGACCACTTGTAAAACTCGAGAAAGAGGGTTTTCATAAGACGGCGAAGAGTGTGCCGGACGACCAATCGAACTCGATATCTCGATCGAGGAGGACAGAAAG